TTGGTCGCGAAATTAGGGGCAATACTTAGAAAGGGCCTCTTTGGGGCCCTCTTTGGGCCCCTTCCTTTGGATTCCCCGGTAGGTTTCTTCAGCCAGATTAAAGAGGGGGCCCAGGAGAGTGTCTGTGCAAATTTTGAAGAAAATCGTAGGGGCCGCCCCATTGGGCCCCAAATTTCAATTGGGTCCCGTGGGCCCCAGGTGGGCCCCATCGAAAAATGTTACTTGGGTTTTTTGTTTGGGAAATTACGCTCTTTCCAATGATGTGCATATTGCCGGGGTTGGTCGCGAAATTAGGGGCAATACTTAGAAAGGGCCTCTTTGGGGCCCTCTTTGGGCCCCTTCCTTTGGATTCCCCGGTAGGTTTCTTCAGCCAGATTGAAGAGGGGGCCAGGAGAGTGTCTGCGCAAATTTTGAAGAAAATCGTAGGGGCCGCCCCATTGGGCCCCAAATTTCAATTGGGTCCCGTGGGCCCCAGGTGGGCCCCATCGAAAAATGTTACTTGGGTTTTTTGTTTGGGAAATTACGCTCTTTCCAATGTTGTGCATATTGCCGGGGTTGGTCGCGAAATTAGGGGCAATACTTAGAAAGGGCCTCTTTGGGGCCCTCTTTGGGCCCCTTCCTTTGGATTCCCCGGTAGGTTTCTTCAGCCAGATTGAAGAGGGGGCCCAGGAGAGTGTCTGTGCAAATTTTGAAGAAAATCGTAGGGGCCGCCCCATTGGGCCCCAAATTTCAATTGGGTCCCGTGGGCCCCAGGTGGGCCCCATCGAAAAATGTTACTTGGGTTTTTTGTTTGGGAAATTACGCTCTTTCCAATGATGTGCATATTGCTGGGGTTGGTCGCGAAATTAGGGGCAATACTTAGAAAGGGCCTCTTTGGGGCCCTCTTTGGGCCCCTTCCTTTGGATTCCCCGGTAGGTTTCTTCAGCCAGATTGAAGAGGGGGCCCAGGAGAGTGTCTGTGCAAATTTTGAAGAAAATCGTAGGGGCCGCCCCATTGGGCCCCAAATTTCAATTGGGTCCCGTAGGCCCCAGGTGGGCCCCATCGAAAAATGTTACTTAGGTTTTTTGTTTGGGAAATTACGCTCTTTCCAATGATGTGCATATTGCCGGGGTTGGTCGCGAAATTAGGGGCAATACTTAGAAAGGGCCTCTTTGGGGCCCTCTTTGGGCCACTCCCTTTGGATTCCCCGGTAGGTTTCTTCAGCCAGATTGAAGAGGGGGCCCAGGAGAGTGTCTGTGCAAATTTTGAAGAAAATCGTAGGGGCCGCCCCATTGGGCCCCAAATTTCAATTGGGTCCCGTGGGCCCCAGGTGGGCCCCATCGAAAAATGTTACTTGGGTTTTTTGTTTGGAAAATTACGCTCTTTCCAATGATGTGCATATTGCCGGGGTTGGTCGCGAAATTAGAGGCAATACTTAGAAAGGGCCTCTTTGGGGCCCTCTTTGGGCCCCTTCCTTTGGATTCCCCGGTAGTTTTCTTCAGCCAGATTGAAGAGGGGGCCCAGGAGAGTGTCTGTGCAAATTTTGAAGAAAATCGTAGGGGCCGCCCCATTGGGCCCCAAATTTCAATTGGGTCCCGTGGGCCCCAGGTGGGCCCCATCGAAAAATGTTACTTGTGTTTTTTGTTTGGGAAATTACGCTCTTTCCAATGATGTGCATATTGCCGGGGTTGGTCGCGAAATTAGGGGCAATACTTAGAAAGGGCCTCTTTGGGGCCCTCTTTGGGCCCCTTCCTTTGGATTCCCCGGTAGGTTTCTTCAGCCAGATTAAAGAGGGGGCCCAGGAGAGTGTCTGTGCAAATTTTGAAGAAAATCGTAGGGGCCGCCCCATTGGGCCCCAAATTTCAATTGGGTCCCGTGGGCCCCAGGTGGGCCCCATCGAAAAATGTTACATGGGTTTTTTGTTTGGGAAATTACGCTCTTTCCAATGATGTGCATATTGCCGGGGTTGGTCGCGAAATTAGGGGCAATACTTAGAAAGGGCCTCTTTGGGGCCCTCTTTGGGCCCCTTCCTTTGGATTCCCCGGTAGGTTTCTTCAGCCAGATTGAAGAGGGGGCCCAGGAGAGTGTCTGCGCAAATTTTGAAGAAAATCGTAGGGGCCGCCCCATTGGGCCCCAAATTTCAATTGGGTCCCGTGGGCCCCAGGTGGGCCCCATCGAAAAATGTTACTTGGGTTTTTTGTTTGGGAAATTACGCTCTTTCCAATGATGTGCATATTGCTGGATTTTGTCGATGTTATAGGCCTGAAATTGTTGCAAACGTTTATTTATGCCCCGAGGGCATACTCCCGGGCCCATATATTTGAAGCTGTTTTGTTCGGTTCAGGGGGGCGCTAGCCCCCTAAATTTGGTACCGTTGCACGTAAAATTTTGTCCTCTTTCGAATGACGTGCATTTTTAGCTGTTTTGACGGCTAGAAGTAGGGTTTTCAAAGTTCGTCGATTGTGCCCTGAGGGCATACTGTTTTTTGGGATTTGTGGCCCCCCTGATGGATTCCCCGCATTTTGGCACTAGGATTTTCGATAGAGGACACCATTCTGCACCTCTCCACCAAAATTCAGCGAAATCGTAGGGGCCGTCGATCCCTGCTGAATCCCTGCTGAACCCCTGCTGAATCCCTGCTAACTTCCGTTACATGAAACGGCTCTCCTCCAAGCTCATCCAACCTCATCCGAGATTTTTTGGGAGGAGCGACGGGAACAGGCCCATAGTGTGTGTGGGGGGGCGGCGTTGAATTTCAATTCTACATCAATATCAATTCAAACTGAAAAACGTGGGTTTGGTTTTGCTGGGATTACTACAGTGCATACAATTTGTATTTAGAACAAGCTGTGGATATTGATATTTTATTCAACACAATTTTTCAGCATCATGTAAATTCCTGAGTTCATCATGTTACACCCATTTTGATTTCATTTTAGCGTATTGCTTAAATTTTTGTATTTCTGTAATATTCAGTCATGTCAAGGTGGGTCAGTTAGTTTAAATCATGAGTTAAGGCGCTGCAAATGTCAGATCCACTGGTAATCTCACGGAAAGCCCCAGCTTCAAGCAGTCAGGTCAGCTTTTGCCATTCGTGTGGTTAACGACTGGAATGGACTGTCGGCTGGATTGTAGACTCTCCTTCGCTGAACATAGGGCCTGTTCCAGCACCTCCAGTAGAAATTCTTGACTGGAGGCTCTACCAGAGGTTTCACTGGAGGCGCTGGAACGCAATCTGGAGATTTCTGGAGATTGGCATCACAGCAGTGCTGCCAGATGGAGAAGGCTGTAATCCTCCAGATCAGTTACAAAAATCCTCCAGATTCCTCCAAATCCCATTGGCGGATCCAGATAGGCGGTCTTGGACGCTGCGGGAGGGCATATCTCCGAAAAGGTTTCTCCAAATTCTAAAAACTCATCGGATTTCGATTCCTTTCGCACTGCTGTGTAGTTTAAAAGATGCTTTTTTTATAATAAAAGTTGTTTAGTTTTCGTTTTATCCTTGAAAAAAAAAACGAAAATTTTCTTCGATTTTGGACGCTGCAGGAGGGGGGGGGGGAATTTGCGCCAAATGTCCCCCTTTGATCCGCCAGTAGTTCGGTACCTTCAAAAACATATGGTACAATCGTACACGAAATAGGAACAAATAGTCACCATGATATTCGTGGATATAGCTACAGACTGAGACATTCCAGTCTCACGGTGATAAAGGGCAGTGATATATCCTAACGGGTAGGGTGAAGCTGGGCAGGAAAATGTCTTTTGAGTCTTGAACGCGTTGTATTTTTCCATGAAATTGAATATATTAATCGGGTGACAAATCCTCCAGATTTTCCTCCAGAATCAAAAATCCTCCAAATGCGAAATTTGTCCGCAAATAGAGTTCAAAATCCTCCAGATTTGCGGAAATCCTCCAAATCTGGCAGCACTGCATCACAGATACCCAAAGAATGACGATTGTTCTCTCTTGAAACGCAAAATTTGTTTTCAATTTTATTAAGAAAGATTAACAAAATTATAGCAATATAATTTTATTTATATTCAAGTTGTAAAATAATCAGTCCTTTGTTTACATTCGTGATTGTCACATGTGCGCCATAATTGTAGACCAGAGCCTCCAGAGAAATTTGGACCTCACAAATCTCTGGAGGCTACTGGAGGTTTCTGGAGCTTTGGCGAGAGCTTTCTGGAGCTTTCTGGAGGCGCTGGAACGCTCTCTGGAGGATTCTAGAGCTTTCTGGAGCTTTCTGGAGGTTTCTGGAGGCGCTGGAACAGGCCCATATTCGAAAGCCGTCTGGATGCCCACTGGGCTCCGCTTCAGTATCTGGTGCCTGTCACCGACTGAGTTGAGTCAGAACGGAACACATGAGTTCGATGAGAGCTTGACCTCAAGGCTTTAGTGCCTTACATATCCCGATCACTTTAAAAAGGTACACACCATTTTAAATCTGCCACTTATCAGCAGGGACACAGGCACAGCCAAGGTGGGGCCACAGGACCATGCCCCCCCCCCCATTGAAGGTGAAAAATAAAATAAAGTAGAAGTAATTACTAAAAACAGCAGGACCACACACACAACCAAAAATAGTGGACCAAATCGGAGGAGTTTTCCTTTTTTGGAGGGGGTACCTACAACACTAGGCCGCAACCTGTGGCCCCTCCCTGGGCAAGAATCTGGCTACGTGCCTGACTGATCATTATAAATGATATAGAATGGCAAACTAGTGAAGGTTTTTTCCCAAGAAGTTGTAAAAATATGAAAAATAATAAATAATAACAAATTATTGTGATGTTATCACAGTACCTAATTTATATTTTTCAGCAATGGCACAAGGTTTTACTTCTTCTGCTGAATTCAGTACCTACCTTACCAACTCACCATCAATCACATTGCATTGAAGTCAAACCTGGTAATGACTGCAAGCACTGTTTTGCAGTTGTTTGCCAGCAATGTACTTTGTCAACTTTAACTCTATAAAGGGTGTATTTCATGGTCATTTAACTCGCCTTGCCTTTTCAGATGGACAAAGACATGAATCTGATCAAGTCACCAGACTTGATTAACCTAAATGACACAGATACAGATGCTGAAATACAGTACAAGGTAAGCAGCACAGCAGATTTGTAGCTGTCATTTGCTCAAATGTTCATTCCTATCCTATTTGTTCAAGTAGGTGCTAGAAGCTGAATCAGAGCATAAGTCACAAGACAACCCCCGCCACTGTCTCGATGGAGAGCTGCAATGCTTTTTTTCCAAGGCATTCTCGTCCACACAAAATAGTTTACATCAGCATGGTTGGAGAATGGTAAGGAACTGTGGATGTTCAGACACCGCAAATCCGCTGCCCCAAAGCACTGGCTTAACTCTAGGGCCACAATTGACAGCAGGGTCTCTCGCGCTAGGGCGACGAATTAGCGGGGCGCAAACAGATGGATCGTCCCCTTCTCCGTCCGCTGCCGAGTCTGGACGCGAACAACGGGGCCGCCCCCTCACCCGTACCTGACTAGTATTCCCCGTTTCCGCAGAGTCTGGACGCCACCAATGGGGACGCCACGGCGGACACGGACGAGCCGCGGCTCTCGGGCGACTCGCCCTCGGCCTCTTCCCCGGCCAGCGACTCGCCCAAGCCGTCCCGACAGGGACACGTGCACTGGAGGACCGCCCGTGAGTGGGACGGCGACCCGCCGGGGCAGGGGAGGGCGCAGTGCTCATTTCCCGACCATCCGGACCCAAAGACCGTTTTTGGCGTGAGATGCACGCCTGGTAATGCGGGGTGAAAAAAGGGTTTCGTCTTTGTTCCGGCTTCTCGGCCCGTGAAAAATAATCAACTGAAACGGCTCGCTTGAGTGAGCACCTAGATACTGGTTCTTGCCAACCGACCTCTAGAACATTTGTGATATCGTGAATATCGTCTTTCATAAATGGTGATTATAATGTCTAGTAGCTGATGTGATGCCAGTTGCTGTTACAACCCTTGCACTGCTGACCCCCCGGTCCGTCGCTGGTTCAGACTCTGACGAGCACCATCAGCTGACGTCCCCTTCTCTCCCCCCCCCCCCCTCAACTCCGGTAAGACTCTAACGGGCATTGCCCTCAATCGGTCAGACTCTGACGAGCACCGCCAGCTGACGTTCCCCTCGTCTTCGGGTCAGACTCTGACGTACTCTGACTCCTCAGATTCTGACGTAACCTCCTCTCCTCCTTCTCTGACTCCTCAGACTCTGACGAGCACCGCCAGCTGCTGGCCACTGAGGGTGCTCGGTGGCCAGCTGCTCCCCCCCCCCTTCTCTGACTCCTCAGACTCTGACGTAACCTCCTCCCCCTTCTCTGACTCCTCAGACTCTGACGTAACCTCCCCGCCCCCTTCTCTGACTCCTCAGACTCTGACGTAACCTCCCCCCTTCTCTGACTCCTCAGACTCTGACGTAACCTCCCCCCTTCTCTGACTCCTCAGACTCTGACGTAACCTCCCCCTTCTCTGACTCCTCAGATTCTGACGTAACCTCCCCCCCCCCCTCCTCTGACTCCTCAGACTCTGACGAGCACCGCCAGCTGCTGGCCACCGAGGGCGAGTCGTCCGACCGGCACTCGTCCGAGGACGAGGAGGACGAGGTGGACGTGTGGACGGTGACAGCCGAGCAGCGCCAGTACTACGTGCAGCAGTTCGTCACTCTGCAGCCCGACACCACCGCCCTGCTGCCCGGACACACCGCCAAGGCCTTCTTCGAGAAGAGCAAACTGCCCGTCACGGCGCTCAGCAAAATATGGTGTGTAGGGGAGCGTGGTGTACTGTAGGGCATGGTGGGTGTGGTTCGACACCCAGCGACTGCCTGGGCTGGCTGGTTAGCTGTGCGACGTAGAGACGCCAAAGTCTGGCAATTTGGTCACTTTCTTTACCGATAGACGTGCATTGCTCACTGACGCGGTTCTGTGCGGCCACTGGGCAGCAGTAGCTGTCCCCTGCCGCCGCTGGCCTCACTGACAGTCCTTTGCCACCGCTCCTCGGCTGCTCAGGAACCTGTCGGACGTCACCCGGGACGGCTGCCTGTGTCTGGAGGAGTTCGTCACCGCCATGCACCTGGTGGTGCTGCGACGGAACCGGATCGAGGTGCCCGACCAGCTGCCGCCCCAGCTGGTGCCAAAGGTCCGTCCCAGCTCCAGGCTCCCCGCTCACCTGTAGGTTGTGGTGGCCAGTTCTGTGTAGGCGAGCTTCTCACCAGTGTCTCATTGTGTGTGGACACCCGTAATGATGGTAGTGGGGGGGGGGGTGCACTGTGCTGTGATTTCTTTCTGCCCAATGATGATTGATAATGCCATGTTTTGTGTCGTGTCGAGCAACGTTGTGCTGTTGAATTGTATTGTGGTAAGCATTGCCATGCATTGTTCACAAAAGCATACGCAAGTCGGTAACTTCCGATACTCTACGATGAACAATTGTACATGTTTGCTGCCAGCGTGTGACCGCTGGTGTACTGACTCGGTGGTTATTTGCCAGATATCGCCGGCTGCTGCGGCGGTGGCGGCGGTCCCGCGGACAGCCGAGGCGCCTCCGCCCGCGCCCGTCACCACCGCCCCCGCCCCCGCCCCTGCCCCCGCGCCTGCCGCCCCCGCCGCCCCTGCCGCCGCTCCTCCTCCGCCAGTCGCCACCGCCGCGCCCGGCCAGCTCACGTCACCAAAGGGCAAGGAGGTGAGAACGCATTATCTGCTGCATCTCTGACTCTCTCATAGTGCATATTCTCCGCAATGCCTCTGTTGTATTTACTCTTGCGGACTTTGTCGTGGACAGAGACCCATCGCCGTTCTGTTCCTTTTCACAGTGGACAAAGTTTGTGGAGTCGCCGATGAGCAACATCTCGTCACCGGGAATCAAGCCTGTCAACTTCGACTTTCACAAATCGGCTGTCGAGCAGGTATTTGTGTGTTGTGGTTTTCACTGGCAATGTTGTCGTCTTTCCGCTGCTGTGTTTGGTCTCGTGTTGGTGCTGCGTTTCTGTCCGCGCTGACGCCCGTCGCGTGCCCTCAGAACCCGCAGATCCTCCACCCGGTGGCGGTGAAGGGCACGCGAGAGGAGCACCCGGCCGGCCGGCCGACGGCCGACTCCGACTCCGAGCTCTCTGACGGTGTAGACGCCCCGGCGCCGCCGCCCCCGCCGCCGCCGGCCGCGCTCGCCGGGCGGCCCACCGCGCGGAAGGCGCTCAGACACTGTGAGTGGGGCACAGAGGGGCTGGCGGGCGGTCAGCGGGGACTGCCGAGCAGGGCAGTGACGGTCGAGGGTGCAGACAGGCCAGCGGCCGTCCGGCCCAGGTCTCACTGTTATTGATTATCCTATTAAAGGTGCCGTTTGATGGACCCCGGGCGGAGCGGTGGCCCGGCCGTGGCCGTTATGGCGTGGGTCGGCCGGCGAGGGGGCGGCGCCCGGTGTGTGTGTCCGTCTGTCGGTCGCCGAGGGGTCAGCTGGGTCAATGGCCGTCCAACACGGCACCGGGCGTGGCCGTCCAAGGGAGGGGGGTACTGTTTCAGGAACAGCCCCGCTGTATTGGACACTTGGGCAAAACTACACGCTTTTCGAATGGGGTGCCTCGCGTCTACGGTGTTTATAATTGCGTCTTGTTTATTTATATATCTGTATCACTACATTCAGCGACGTGTTTATATTATGAGTAAGCGATACTTGTGCGCTGCTCACCCCTATGTCGTTTCACCAGCTCGACGGCCCGACCCCATTCACCCTCACTGACCCCTGCCCCGCTGTCCGTCCGTCGGCAGGCAGCTCGGGTCCGCACGCGCTGGGCGACTCGGCCTCCTCAGGCCCCACCAGTCTGCCGGTGCTGGCGCAGACGGCGCCCACGCTGCCCAGTCGGCTGGCACAGCCGGCGCCGCCGCCGCCGCCGCCGCGGCCCGGCCACACCGGCCACGCGCGCAGCAGCTCCCTGGACCTGAGCTGCGTGCCGCCCGTGGTGCCGCCGCGTAGCTCACCGGCCGACGTGAGTGGTGCCGCACTGGGGGGATAGCGGGGTGGTCTGCAGTGGTGAGGGGTGTCGTCATTGTCGATCGACCAGCGCGAGCACTGAACAGCAAAAGTGTTTTTTTTTTCATATCGAACCCTTTATGAGCAGCCACCAAGGCACTGTGGTCCGCCCCGTAAACGCTTGGTTTCATGATTTGGTTTGACTGGTATGGTTGAAGATTGTTACATGCCAGGGACACTTAACCCTCGCCCGCACATGCCATTTTCCCATCCTAGAACGCACATGGGGGGGGGGGGGGTGGTTGCCACCACCCCCGCGCCATTTCGTTCCTGTTGGAGATAGAGCTTAGCAGTAAAGACCAAAAAGATTCTTTGGGAAGAGACGAATCCAATGATACCCAGTTTTACCTTCTCAGGTCAGTCATTGACCTTCCAGGTCAGGTCAAACTAAAAAATGTTGCTGTTTTGGGTCACCGTTGGATATCAAGTGCGCTGCTTATCAAATACCGATGACGATGCTGTTTTCTGGTGCCAAGCCAGCTAGAACCTCTTTGTCACACTATCCGACCAGAATTTTGCTGCTGAGGTCATTTCAGGTCAAGTTAGGTCAAGGTCAATTATATGTGTTTGTATGTCTGTGTGTGTCTGTGTGTATACTGATGTGTGCACCGATTGTTTTTGGGTCCATATCACATGAAATCATGATCTGAGAAGCTTTTACCAAAAATGCAGTCAAAAAACTTCACAAAAAGTAAATTCAGCTTGCCTAAAACGCAATTATCTTAGATGACCTAGGTTGACCTTGACCCTGACCTTGACCCCTGTACATCGTCGAACAACATGTTCCATGATAGGTGGGAGGTAAGACTGGCAAAAAAGGCCGAAATCAGGGTGTCAAAAGCTCACAAGGCCCATGGCAAACGCAAGATGTTGAGAATTGGCCATTTGGGTCATGACATGACCTGAAAAACAAGGTCATATCTCCAAAACCAAAAATCACAGAAACTTGAAATTTTCAGTGGACATCAAGAAAGGATAGACAAGCAGCTATACGAAAAATCAGCCTTCTAGCTCTAAAAATGTTGAGTGCAGAGCAGAAAGACTGCCTGGGGGGGGGGGGTGGCAACCACCCCCCCCCCCCATGTGCGGGCGAGGGTTAATCTGACGTATCGTGCATTTATATGAAAAAGTGGCTCAATTGTTTGCGTTGTTATGCTGTCTTGGTGTACGGTTGCTGAGCATGGTGGGGCGTTATGACATATTCTGACCCGATATCCCGTATCGTGTGTCCCGCAGGCGGCGGCGGCGGCGGCGGCGCGGGGCAGCCAGAGGCCGGCGCCGGCCACAGCCGACCCTTCGGCAGGGTTTGCCGACTTCAGTCAGTTCGAGGAGCCCTCAGCGCCCGACATCAGCCGCGTCAGACAGGGCGCCTTCGAGGTCTACAAAAAGCCAGGTCCGTGCGCGTGGGCGGGATGTGTTGATCCAGGACTCAATAAAATGCCAGGCATAGGATAGAACAGCCTACTTGTGCAATAACAATTATAACAAAGCAGTCCGACTTAATGCTAAATGAATGAGCTTTTTCTAGCCACACGGACATATCTCACCCTTCAGACGTCGCAGAGACGATAGGCCGTGCACTTTATCAGCGCTGCCGAGGAGAGCCGTCCTCACGACCTGCACCAGCCGCCGTGGACTTCAGCACAGCTGAAAATTTGGTGTACAACGAGCCTTTCTCTATGGCTGAGCTCACGTCTGCCATCAGCTCGTTGCGCAGCGTCTCAGAAGGTCCGGATGCTGTCCACAACGACATGCTCCGTCATCTCCCAGCAGTTGCCCTCGAGGCGCTGCTAGCAACCTTCAATTCGCTTTGGGAGACTGGCACTTTCCCTGAGACCTGGCGGGAAGCCACTATCATTCCTATCTTGAAGGCTGGCAAGTCGGGACATGACCCTCTCCATTATCGGCCCATCTCTCTCACATCTTCGCTATCAAAGCTGATGGAGAAGATGGTCAATGTGCGTCTTAGCTGGTTTCTGGAACATCATGGTGTTTTTACAAACGCCCAGTGCGGTTTTAGAAAGCACCGCAGCCCTGTTGACCACATTTTAGCCCTTGACACCGAGATACGCACCTGTTTACTGAAAAGAAGCACCTTGGAGCACTTTTCTTTGATATTGAGGCGGCCTATGATACAGTCTTACGACACAGCATACTTTCCAAAGTATATAAGTACGGCATACGCGGCCGGATGGGCCTCTTTATCAAGAATTTTTTATCGGGTCGTCGGTTTAAAGTCCGAGTTGGCAGTGATTTCTCGAGCAGTTTTACCCAGGAGAACGGAGTTCCCCAGGGTGAGGTGCTCAGTGTGGCGTTGTTCGCGGTGGCAATCAATAACATCGTCGACGACCTCCCGGTCTCCATCGGGAGATCGCTTTTTGTCGACGATTTTGCCATCTGGTTTGCTGCTTCAAGCGCTCGACACGCGGCTAGACAGCTGCAGCTCGCCGTAACACGTTTGGAGAGGTGGAGCGGTAAGAATGGTCTTCGTTTTTCCACAGCGAAGACCGTGGCAATGCACTTTTGCCGCCGACGTTGTGACGACCTAGCTTTGGGAATCAAGCTCTGCGGACAGTTGATTCCCACTCGGCCGGTGGCGAAATTTCTTGGGATTTATTTTGACGGTCGCTCGACGTATAAGGAACATTTTAGAACGCTTCGGGAACGGTGTTTTAAATCCCTGAACGTTTTAAAATGTGTTGCTCGCACATCTTATGGTGCGGACCGCAGGACCCTTCTTCTCCTGTACCGATCGATAGTTCGGTCGAAGCTGGATTACGCTTCTTTTGTCTACGATTCAGCGAGCCAATCCAGCAAAAAGGTCCTCGACGCAGTCCATCATGCTGCAATCCGTGTCGCCACCGGAGCATTCCGCACCTCGCCCAGCAGCAGCCTTCTTGCTGAGGCGCACGAGCCGCCTCTATCCCTACGCCGCCAGATGCTTGGGATGCGCTACGCGCTGAAACTGCGTCAGTTCCCGACGCATCCGACGTACCCGTACGTCTTCTCCACCTACTACACTCGACTTGACAGAGCGCGACAATCGCTCTGCTTTGGAGCGCGCATGAGAGGTCTCTTCTCCGCAGCCAACATAGGTTTACGTGTCGTACGACGTAGCTGGGGTACGTCCTCTCCGCCTTGGAAACACGCAAAACCTCAAGTAGATCTCTCACTCTCCGAAGTTAAGAAGGATGACCTGCTGCCTTGTGAGGCGCGAGTCAGGGCCTTGCAACACATCGTCTCGTACGATGGTTTTAACACCGTTTTTACAGACGGATCAAAAACGCCTGAGGGAGTGGGATGTGCTTTTATCGCAGGTCGCGATAGCCGCTCATTCTCTCTACCTTCTTTTGCCTCGGTGTTTTCGTCTGAGCTAGTCGCCATCGAGAAGGCTCTGTGTTTTATCGAGGTGTCGGACGGCCTTTCTTACTCGATTTTATCGGACTCCTTAAGTAGCCTTTTGGCGTTACGGAGTTTTAATCCAGTTGACCCGATCGTTCAAGACATTTTAGCTCGACTTCAGTCAGTGGAACCAAGATTACTTTGTGGAACAATCGGGAAAATTTGTTCAGTTCTGCTGGATTCCCAGCCACGTCGGCATACACGGCAACGAGCTGGCAGATGCGGCCGCGAGGCGCGCGGCCGCAGCCTCCTGCACTCGACGTCTGCCATTGCCGGCGCGTGACCTTTATTCGGCTGTGCGATCTTTCATTCTCTCTGAGTGGCAGGCAGAGTGGAGCCTACGTGGAGGCGGAAAGCTCCGTGAGGTGAAGCCGACTTTGGAGCCATGGAGGTCTTGCTTGCAAGACAACCGGTCCAACGAGGTGATCTTGTGCAGGCTCCGAATCGGCCATACATATGCCACGCATGGCCACCTCCTCCGCGGAGACGAGCAGGCCATTTGCAACGGCTGTTCTGCGCCTCTTACCGTCGCTCACGTGCTCTTATCTTGTCCACTTTTAGAACCAGACCGGACACGCTACCTCGGCCGCATCGCTCCGGGTACCACTGTCCGCCACCTGCTGGGTGACGAGTCACCCTGGGTTTTATCTGGCAACATCTTTTCCTTTATCCGTGCAGTCAAATTCCAAGCGATTTACTCGACCTACCTGACCCAAATCCTCTCTAGTCTCCTTGTCTAGTCAGTTGTCTATTACCACGCTCTTGCGTTGTTTTATTTTACCCTGTCTTTTTTATAAAGTCTTTTACTTTCTAGTCTTGATATCTAGAAAGTCTCTTCTTTTAAAACACTTGTTTTACTAGCGCGGCGTTATGGGCGCAAAATGACCTTTGCAGTCGACGCGCCCTAAAGCCCCAATAAACAACAACAACAATCCCCTATTTGCTTTTCTGGAATCGTTTTTTATTAATTCGACGGTCGCATATTTATGTCCATCGAGGTTTTGTGAAATGATTAGGTACGGGACAGTTCCACTGGGTCTTGGATGACTGAAAGCCACGCTCCGGTCGATGATCGAACCGCAGCAGTGTCGGATCACATCCGGGGTGTGACAGACGGTAGCTTTGTCGCTCTCAGTCTCCCTCGTGTCTTATAATTGTGTTGAACACTCATCCGTGGCGCGTCTCACCCCACTCATGCCGCTCACTTACCCCCCAGTGCCGTGGACTGTGAAGTGCCCCCCGTAACGTGTCCACTGTCCAGTCCCCCGTAACGCCTCCCGAGTCTGACCGTGCGGCGCCCTGTCTCCGATAGCGGCAGCAGCAGCAGCGGCGGCGGCGGGGGCGACGGGCGGCGCCAGTCCGGCCGGCAGTCGACACGGCTCCGGCGGCGACCACGCCCCCTCTGCCACCGAGCCACGCCCCTCGCGGCCGGCGCCACACCCGCACCTCGAGTCGCCCGTCATCAGCCCGGGCCGACTCGCCAAAATGACGCCGCAGGAGCTGATGGCAGTCAGGTGAACAAACTTATCGGGCAGTGCTCTCTTCGGTAGCAGTGGATTTTTGGACGATTTGTCGGATGCACAATCTTTCGGTTGAACATGCCGAACCGAAATTAATTTAGATTCTCTAGATTGTCATGCAGACATTCTTATGCTCTATCTTGGTCAAGTTTGATGGTTGTGTTCGTGAAGTCGTCAGTTCGGTTATTTGCTGCCACGTTCCCACCGTGTTTTGGTCCCGTGATATCCTATCGGTCTGCCGACTCAGTGACCGGTCTGACCCGCCCCGTCCCCCCAGGCTCGTGGAGCCGCGAGGCGCTGGTGCTGGTGCTGCGGTGCTGTGTCTCTGACCCGCCCCGTCTCCCGCAGCTCGTGGAGCCGCGAGTCGTTGGTGCTGCGGTGCTGTGTCTCTGACCCTCCTTCCCGTCCCCCGCAGCTCGTGGAGCCGCGAGTCTCTGCTGCTGGTACTGCGCGCGCAGCGGGAGCGGACTGCCACGCTGGCGGCCGTCACCGCCGAGCTGAATCAGGAGCTGGCAGAGACGGTGGAGGAGCGCACCTCGCTGGAGCTGCAGCTCGACCACATGCGGCCCGACAATGACTGACCGGGCCGCCGCGCCGTCTGAGGAGGCCCGGCCGGCCGCGGCGCGCCGCCCGACAGCGACCGACGGCAGTGGGACGCGTCGGTCCATTCCAGACAGGCGGAGTGGCGGCAGGGGACTGCGTGTCGCTGGTGTATGTGTGTGTACTGGAGAGGACAGCGGGCTGTTGTGGGCGCATTTTTTCGGAGTGTTTATTCGACGTTGTCATGTCGGGATGCTTCCTGGGCGGGCGGTGGTGGCCAGTCAGCCGGTGGGACTCAGTGGGGTCGCTGTGGGCAGTCGACTGCCGCTGCCCAGTGACGGTGAGCCAGCCTCGGGGTGCGCCTAGGCCGGCCGAGGGTTGGCCGCTCGCGGCTGGCGCCGGGAGCTCTCGCCGCGTGTCGCCAGTCGCCGTTTGTTTACCGCTTGGACGCTCGTCCAGCTATGTTAATATGGTCGAACCAAATATATCTACATTATTCAGCTATACGGCGAATGATGGATATTTTGTCAGATGACGCTTTTATTTAATACGATATATGTCTGGTACCGGCGGTGATTGCCGTGAATATCATGCGTGGTAGCGTCAGTGGTGCCGTGCGTGGCCTGGGTGCGACGTACCCTTTGCACACTACTGGGTCAATATTTTTAGAGTTGTTCCCACGTCGCTGCTAAGTGAAAAATATACACAATGACAAGATATCGGTGTTTGATCCATCCTTTGGTACACGTGTGGCGTGTGTTTCATGTCAGGCGATCGCAGCCAATCGCACATTGGCTTTTACTTCGTAAGGCGTTGTATCAATGATGCACGAGCAGCCGGAAGGCTTCCGAAAAAGTGACAGAAATGCATGTATCGGGACAGTCCAAAAACCACTAGCATACCGTATACAATTTTTATGCCGTAATAACGTGGTACTGAGGCAACAAGCCACATGGCCAGAAACGGACATAAAACACGCCAGGATCACAGTCACATCACTCACGGTGACTATGAATACATCACAAACATCACTATTGCATCCATTGCGTATCCATGCATCATATTGCGAAACATTACAAGCCAACTAGAGACACTCATCCGTCCCTGCCCAGTGCCGCAGCGCATCTCGCTCGACAGCCGGCAACTGGCGGCCCTTGATCCACTGAGCGCGGCCGGTGACCTAACCTATCACTCTGGTCAGTTGGCGGCCAGTCGCAGCTGGTGACCTTGGAGCCACTGAGCGCAGCCGGTGACCTGAACCGTCACTCGGCAACCAGCCGCAGTTAGTGACCTGACCTGTCAAAGGCCGGTGAGCTGATCCGTCACTCAGCGGCTGGTTGCTGACCAGACGTGGCCGGTGATATGACATGTCAGTCGGCGGCCAGTCGCAGCTGATGGCCTTGGAGCCACTGAGCGCGGCCGGTGACCTGACCCGTCACTGGGCAGCCAGTGGGCTGGTAGCGACTGAGCCGTGCGCGGCCGGTCAGGGCTGACGCGTCAGTCGGCGGCCAGTCGCAGCTGGTGACCTTTGAGCCACTGGGCACGGCCGGCGCGCGGTCGCAGCACCTCTTTCCCGCCGAGGAGGGGCCGCAGGGCCGGCGGCACGGCCACCGTGCCGTCCCGCTGCTGTCCGGTCTCGACCAGAGCGAGCAGGGTGCGCGGCGCCGCGCAGGCCGTGCCGTTGACGGTGTGCAGCCGGCGGCCGGCGCAGTCGCGCACGGCCAGCCGCCGGCTCTGGTAGTCGGTACAGTCGCTGGCGCTGCTCACCTCGCCGTACATCCGCCGGCCCGGCATCCACGCCTCGATGTCGTACTTGCGGTAGGCCGGCGCGCCTGCAGAAGGAAAATCAGTCGGTCAGTGGCAGAGGGACAGGGAGTTGCACGGGAACTACATATTGTAATTGCACAATTGCTAAAATATAAATGTGAACGCCTGTGTTGATTGTCCACGGTGAGTTACCGCGAAAACTTGTCAGACGTTATAGCACCAGCGGCTTTCTAAAGAATTTCACAATCACGATTGTTTGGCAACCAATAACGGGCTCACCACATTCAATGAAACCAGCAGCAATTGCAAAGCAAACTACAAGCTGCGTTCATGGAATCGTTATTCATCACCGCTGTGAAACCACTAACCCAGTTCGTGTGGCGGCATATCGTAGACGATAAAGTGCAGTCCGAGGTCGGTGAAGATGCTCTCCTGGATGGCGACAAACTCGTCGAGCAGGGCGCCGGACACGGCCGTATCTGCCGCGCACACGCCGAACATCTCCACCTTAGTGAACTGGTGGACCCTGCGGAACACAGAGACGGACACCGGTCAGAGACTGACACACAGGTGCCTGGCACAGCGGCGAGTCGCCAGTGTGGTGCGCTCGAAAATGAACAGCGCAAGGAAATAAATAATTTGATGCACGAAACAGTTATGTAAAGAAGGGAAGTTTTAAAAAATTGCGTTTGCCTCTTCTCATGGGACACGAATAAATAAACAAAATATTGACATACAATAAACAGCAATAAAAGTAAATCAAGAGTGGCCGTCAACTCTTTCTGAAAAAAAAAAAAATACGAGGAACTTCAGAAAATATGAAGGCAAGCACAGCCGACCAGTGTTGGTGCGGTTTCCAGAGCCCTCGCCTCACAGTGCGCTCGCCGTTACCTGTAGATGCCCGACTCGCTCTCCAGGTTGGAGACCTCTGGTCGGAAACAGCGCGAGACGGCGGCTAGCCGGAGCGGCAGCCGGTCAGCAGGCAGTCGGCGGCCGGCCACCAGAGCGCCCAGCGCCATCTCGGCCGTCCCAGACAGACACACGTCGCCGTGATGTGATTCGTCCAGAGAGTATACCTGCCGGGGGGGGGGGGAGAAGGTGTGGTCAGTGGAACGGAGGGGAAGAGGAGGGTTAGTGGAGCACAGGCACACGTCGCCGTGATGTGACTCGTCCAGAGAGCATACCTATTACCTGCCGGGGAGGGAGACAGTCAGAGGGACAGATTAGGAGGAGAGGGGGTCAGTGACACGAAGAGTGGAGACACGTCGCCGCACTGCACCTCGTCCAGATAGCATACCTATTACCTGCCGGGGAGGGAGACAGTCAGAGGGACAGATTAGGAGGAGAGGGGGTCAGTGACACGAAGAGTGGAGACACGTCGCCGCACTGCACCTCGTCCAGAGAGCATACCTATTACCTGCCGGGGAGGGAGACAGTCAGAGGGACAGATTAGGAGGAGAGGGGGTCAGTGACACGAAGAGTGGAGACACGTCGCCGTACTGCACCTCGTCCAGAGAGCATACCTATTACCTGCCGGGGAGGGAGACAGTCAGAGGGACAGATTAGGAGGAGAGGGGGTCAGTGACACGAAGAGTGGAGACACGTCGCCGTACTGCACCTCGTCCAGAGAGCATACCTATTACCTGCCGGGGAGGGAGACGGTCAGGGGGACAAAGGGGAGAGGGGTCAGTGGATCGGGAACACACCTCGCCGTGCTGTGGCTCGTCCAGAGAGTACGCCTGCCGGGACGAGTGCAGACATACGGGATGGCGACAGCCACTCGGCAGACATCACAGGGGGCGCTGGGAAAACGGTTAACATCGATGTTCGTGGTGGTTGAAAATCTGCAGCAGTAATGGTGCCAACTGGTTCGGAGTTCAGACGGATGCCAACGCTTATCATAGTCCTATCGCCGTGCACAGAGACACCGAGGTAGCACGGAGCTGCTTGGTCAGTGTGGGGAGGACAGCCATCTGGTGTCGTGGGGGAAGGGCTCACCATGGTCCTGTCGCCGTGCACGGACACACCGCACGCCTCCAGGACGGAGCTGTTGAGCAGGTCCGGCACCGACACCAGCTGGAAGCCGGCGGAGAGCAGCCGGCGCAGCGCGAACCGGACCAGCGCCGCCTCCAGCTCGGCCAGCTCGTGCTTCAGGTACTGCCGGAGGGGGGTGACGACCTCGGTCACCTGGTGTTGTCACAGTCATCGCAGGGAGGCCGGCAGGCGAGGCTAATGTGTCTGTTTCAGTGCTCCACGGTTACCTAATAAATACGAGATGGAGCATATTCAGTCCTCACCTAGTGGATAGAAGCCTGCACACCGGCTTTTCCACCAGGCATCGTGATTTTTCCAATACATAATTGGCAATAAGTAATAACGAGTTGTGTGTTAAACCGTGCCAAATGCAAGAGGTGCTCTGCTTGAATATCTACACCCGATAGCACAGTTGACTCAAGACACTCAGGGCACAAAAGATGTGCCCATGTAATCTATGTATGTCGTCCTAACACCTCATTACTCCCAGCGCCTCTTCCATCCTCTGCCACTTACATACGTCCTGCTGCCGGTCAGCAGGCCCAGGTTCTCCATCCTGAACATGTTGAGCTTCTCGGCGCGGTGCCGGAAGTCCTTCACGGGGAAGTCGAAGTGGGGCTTCTGGCCGACGGTTTTGACAGGGACCATCTGCTGTGGCTCGGCGCCGGGCCGGTCGGGCCGGGTGTGGTTGGGCAGCCGCAGCGCCTCCTCACTGAGCTGGCGCAGCAGCTCGGCCCGGCCGGCCGGCGGCGCGGCACGGTACTGCGCGTGCAGCTGCTGCACGCGGCGCACGTCGCCGACGCCCTTGCGGCGCTGCACGTCGGCGGCGATGGCGGCGGCGTTCTGGGCGCAGAGCAGGTAGGGCCAGTCGAGGTCGGCGGCCGGCCGCTCGCCCGGGTGGAACAGCTCGCTGTCGGCGGCGGCCGCAGAGGCGGCGGTGCAGCAGCGGCGCCACCAGCGGCGGCCCAGCCAGCCAGCCGGCACTGGGCCCTGCGGGCGGAGCACCGCCAAGCGCAGCGGCCACGTCATCACCTGCAGGGAGAGCCACCAGACAGGTCACCCACAGACCACAGCCCCGCCACGTGCAGCCACGTCATCACCTGCAGGGAGAGCCACCAGACAGGTCACCCACAGACTACAGTCAGGTGCACAGATGCAGGACAGATGGTTTAGGAAAATGACTTAGATCAGCATCTGGAAACTGCCTACCATTCCAGCGTTTCATAGAATATAATGTCTTTATGTGGGCATCATCAGTGAGAATCTTTTATCTAACCCTCGCCTGGCCAGGGAACATCAAAATTCCCAATGCTTATTGGGCGTTTTCCAAGCAAGGTTTATGAATTACGAGTCTCAGCTCTCAACATCGTGCAATCTTCACTTTCACTACCTCCAAATATTGATTTTATCTACTCTGAATATCTCCATATTTACCATGAAATATACTTACCTGGCTACCATAATTTCAGAATGGCCTTCGTACAATCAAGAACACATTGATGTGTGCTGAACTGCTGATAAGTGATATACTATTTTTGCTATAAATATTAAAATATTTACAATAGCTATAGGTAGATGAATTAACACTAATGTGAGTAATGTCTGAACTGGGACAGATGGGAAATGTGACCAAATATTGATAGGTAGGCATGCCAAAAGCTAAGCACTTTAAGTCTATTTTAACAGCTCAAAGTGACCATGAATTAAGAAATATTGGCATTAGTAGAGCAAACATCACACAAAGGTTTTCCAATGAGAAGAGAAGAGGCGCTGTAGGTTCGTAGGTTGTAGTCTCCTTGGTTAGAAAACTTTCATGTGACATCTGCTCTACTAATACTGAAATGTTCAGCAGGACATAGAGAAACAGGAGATCTGTTATGTCAATATTGAAATTAAGGTTGCCTACTATAATCAGATTGTTTTCTTACTTGCTTCCTGGTTCCCTCAGCTCAACCTCAGCTTATGCAGCGATATCAATATTGGTTGCTTTTCAACCCGATTTTCAGGAAAATGGTGTCGTTAAGTTTCAAACTGAAAAACGAAAAAAATGGTATCCCTTTAAAAAAATCAAATAAGCTCAAAAATTGCAGGCGCGCAGCCCGCAAGAAAGGCCATCGCGTCATGTTTGAAGCATAGGCGCAATAAATGCAGCACTATTCTGCTCTATTCCACTGCAAGACGCTTGAATGGGCGGAGTTTATTTTACAATAGCTCATTTATTCATTTCAATTTGTCTCTGTATTGCAATGCGGTGAACTTACTTGGCATTGCTAAGCCGTAAAGAGCAAGTAAGCAATGTGGTACGCTTTAACATCCATTCATACAGGGACAAAACTGAAAACTTTTGAACCACCACCTCTGCGGCCATTATACACAGGAATTCTTCTTCTTCTTCTTCTTCTTCTTCTTCTTCTTCTTCTTCTTCTTCTTCTTCTTCTTCTTCTTCTTCTTCTTCTTCTTCTTCTTCTTCTTCTTCTTCTTCTTCTTCTTCTTCTTCTTCTTCTTCTTCTTTTCTTCTTCTTCTTCTTCTTCTTCTTCTTCTTCTTCTTCTTCTTCTTCTTCTTCTTCTTCTTCTTCTTCTTCTTCTTCTTCTTCTTCTTCTTCTTCTTCTTCTTCTTCTTCTTTCTTCTTCTTCTTCTTCTTCTTCTTCTTCTTCTTCTTCTTCTTCTTCTTCTTCTTCTTCTTCTTCTTCTCTTCTTCTTCTTCTTCTTCTTCTTCTTCTTCTTCTTCTTCTTCTTCTTCTTCTTCTTCTTCTTCTTCTTCTTCTTCTTCTTCTTCTTCTTCTTCTTCTTCTTCTTCTCTTCTTCTTCTTCTTCTTCTTCTTCTTCTTCTTCTTCTTCTTCTTCTTCTTCTTCTTCTTCTTCTTCTTCTTCTTCTTCTTCTTCTTCTTCTTCTTCTTCTTCTTCTTCTTCTTCTTCTTCTTCTTCTTCTTCTTCTTCTTCTTCTTCTTCTTCTTCTTCTTCTTCTTCTTCTTCTTCTTCTTCTTCTTCTTCTTTCTTCTTCTTCTTCTTCTTCTTCTTCTTCTTCTTCTTCTTCTTCTTCTTCTTCTTCTTCTTCTTCTTCTTCTTCTTCTTCTTCTTCTTCTTCTTCTTCTTCTTCTTCTTCTTCTTCTTCTTCTTCTTCTTCTTCTTCTTCTTCTTCTTGACGTTGTTGCTTTAACCAAGATTCTTACAGAAGCTTTTACAGTCATCCTATAACTCAACTTCACTGATCGAGACCGAAACGCCGCCAGTCGATCCACCGTAGGTAGGCATGCGGTTCATCATCCTTTTAGAATAAGGAGACCAACATGTCTAATGTCTATAGGCGCTCTTTATCAACCCAGGATGTCAAACAGAAGAAAATTGCATCTTCTTACACTGCCTCACATCAAATAATAAATATATGTCCCACACCACTACATTATACTTCAACATTCAGCAATTATGTGATGAATAAAGGCGGAAATGTTGTGAAAGAGCATTCCGCTCACATGAGACGTGAGCTCAGAAATTATGAGCGGCGTTCCCGAAACGTCCGACGACCGCAGCTCTCCTACAATCTGGGGCTCGCTGAGTCACCGTGCCTGGAAGGTGGCCGGGTCGGGTCCGGCGACGTAGGTATACGGGTGCTGCGGCCGGGGTGGGGTGCCGACCGGGCGCACACGGCAGAGGCCGCAGACGGTGGCAGCGCCGCGGGGTCCGGTCTCTCGGGACAGCTGCTCGCGCGGTGAGGTGAGGTTCCGGGCCGTGTCGGGCCGCCGGAGGGTCTCGGCCGTGTCGGAGGTCGTGAGTGTCAGACGGGCTGATGGACTGCCGCGCGGCGCCCTCCGCCGTGCGCCTAATGATCGGCTGCACCCGGCCGCCCCTCCCACACTGTCCGCCGCGGCCCAGTCCGCCCACGGCTCCCGCCCCGTCCTCTGCGGCCCAGTCCGCCCACCACTGCCGCCCTCCGCCGACCGACACACTCACCATTTTATGATGTAATTCTTGTCGGCCAGCTCAGCAGTGTGACGGCAGGGTGGGGCTGATTTAGGATCTACCAGTTAGTCCGAGACACTCGGCCTGCCAGCGACGCCTTGAAACACTGGGCCTCTCCCGGGGGTCGTCACTGCGGAGAAAAGGTGACAAAGACGGCTTCCGTAGGTGCCCTGCCCGCTGCTGGTAGCTGAGAACAATTAGTGGACATTGGAGTCACAGCGGAGCTCCGGCCGTCCTCCCTCCCCCCCCCCCCCCTCCGTCCCAGTCAATCGCTGAATAGCTTTTCATGAAGCTTATCGATATGATCATAGAAAAGAAATGTCATAATTATTAATTAGCCAAAAAATGCAACTGACATATTATAGCAGGCACTATACTGCGCGGCAACAGGAATTACAGTTGGACGTCCTTCACTAAAATTCACCCTATTCCCGTCGTTAATTGACGACAAAATTTAAAGACCATCGGTTTCAGACCGCCGCATTACAGTTACACCCTGACCGACTTTTTTCGAATAAGAATAGTAAAAAAAACGTTATAAATAAGGTCCGTGGCTGCGCAAAATCCTCTATTTTGACCCAGACCGTCGGTCCTCTAGCGGTCCCCTGGGGTCGACGGTGACGAGCGACGCTAATGGTGCCATTCGCAGGGCGGCGCCGGGGCGGGCCGCGCGTGCGCCTGTCATTACCTGCCTCCCGCTGATCGAGGAGAGAACGGGACCGGGATGTGTGGTGCGCCTACGGCCTATCTACAATTACGTCCTACTCCTACCCATTGATATCCAGTATGAAATGGACACGATCCTGAAAAAACCTATCCTACATAATCCAACCTAAACTGTCTCAAGTTTTCCCTATAGACCATATTCCTTTTTTACTGGATATTAAAGGGACCCTCCCACCTTAACATTAGATTTGAGTTGAGATAGCCAAAATGGGGTCCCTGGCTCACAATTACCGGTTTCGGCACTCACAACATCGAGAAATGCCTTAAATCGGAAATATTGAATTTCAAAATTGCAGCATTTTGATTCAGAGGGGCTAATGCTTAGGAATACCCCTCTGAATGTGTGACGTCAGCGCAAATATCTAACGATTTTTAAATGTTTGACTAAAACGTTTTGTAGCACGCGGTGGTATATGCTATTTGCGCGCAACATCTGCCGCAAACGCCGCACTTCTAAAATAAAGTCGCTAGAAACAGCGGAGATCCCAAAAAAGTAAACAAAAGTAAAAGTCTAATATCTTGAAAACCTGTGAATATTTTTCGGTGAAATTTGGTAGATATTCGTTTTCGCTCTTTCTGAACCGAGCGACATCACTTTCATGCCAATTCATAAACTTTTTTGAAGGTGGGAGGGTCCCTTTAATAAACCCAACACACGCCGACCCATCCGATGTTGGCTATTAGGGCTGTCGAGTCCATGTGACGACGCGAAGGTGCGTCAGTTGCATCACATAGCACGCAATGCGCATTACACACTCGTAAACTGTTTCCTCGGGCCACCGCGCTGCTGCCTGCTAACCAAGTCCGAGTAGCCAAGTCGTCCCATGAACATTTTTGTGTTGCTTGTGCCTAGTCTACACTATTCTGCTCTGTTTCCTACCCTCCCTGTCTTTTTTCCTGTGCATTTGATGATAAATAATCACGCTATTCTTACCGGTCATTTGATGAGGATATAGTGAACAGGTAACATATGGCGCCAACAATATACAACACATCCAAAATATACCCCACGATCGCCATGGGCGAAGAGGCATTCCTCTCGCCGTTTTCCCACAGTTCCCGTGGCGCAGTGAATTCCGCGGGTGTATCACAACACGAGCAGCGAACGGTCACCTTACAAAGCCGGCTAATCGCTCACACGGATAGGCCGTCATCAGACGGTATAAATTGCCGCGCGCTGCTGCCACGTCCGACCGGGGATACTTATCGTCTGCCGCTGCGTCCGACCGACAATAGATTACCGGCGGGGGCAGCCCTCAATCCGGATCGGCCGCTGCGCGACGCTGTACCCGCGCCAACGCTACAATTAGTGGTCGGCACGGAGAGGGGGCTGGGGGCGGGGCTCTATATCCCTTCCCCCGCCCGGAGAGGGGGCTGGGGACGGGGCTCTACCCCTTCCCCGCCCGGAGAGGGGACTGGGGCGGGGCTCTATACCCCTTCCCCCGCCCGGGTAGCAGTGGGGCGGGGCCGGGGGAGACCGGGGGAGGCGCGGCGGCGGCGGATACAGGGCGGTGTGTACATACGATCGGGGTAAAAGGTCGACAGCGGATGACGACTCGTCAATGTGAAGACTAAACATAACATACTTGAGAGCGATATTGAGATGCTCTATATGAGAGGAATGTTAATGCGATACACAGGTCGGTCCAAAGGGAAGTGTGACGGGGATTAAGAGCCTTTTTTTCCCCATCTGAATCATCCGAAATAAAAACAAAATTTTATCTCCTTCTTTTACCCCTCTGAAAAGAAAAGTCAGCAGTTTTTTTTAGAGTGTTCGCTTTAAAGTAGCTGATGTGCTTCATTTATCATTTGATTCATTCGGCATGAGCCATGAACATTCGGGCTTCGGTTTAAATAATACATTTTTCAAAAGCACTGAGTTTGAAAACAGTTGGCGATATGCAAACTCACGATTTTCCCTAAAACTACAATACATACCACCTCGAGTTAATCGTTTATAGCTAAATCTACCGTGCTGGATAACCGGCTAGGTCTGATTATTTTTCATCTACGCATTGTGTTTCCTCGTTAGATTTTTTTTTTGAAAATCGACATTTAGCAAATACGATAACGCGAAATTCGGTATACCTAATTGAACAGATGACTGGGGATCATTCAGGTTGATTTCGCGCACGTCAGCTATGCAAAAAGCTGATCGATATGGAATGGATTCCGCCATTCCTATGTGGGTGTATTGATCCGTGCCCTGCAGTGTTCCAATCTCGGCTCCATCCCGGGCCGTTCACACGGTGCTCTCTGGCCGCTATGTGCGGTATGTTCCCATGGGCGCGGCGCCGTCCGTAGTCCGTACCCGCTGGCCGTAATTGACGGCCGCTGAGTGACGGCTCCGGTCGGTCGGTCGTTATACGGGAGCCCACGGCTGCCCGGGCACACTCAGCAGGCAGACGGCCGTCCCGGGCACAGGAACAGGCAGTTAG